GGTATCAGAACAGATTGATTTAATATTGTCAAAAACCTCATCCGATAAATTATTAAGCAAAGTATTTATTTTAATAGAGTCCGAAAATGTACTGGTCGAAAAATAATTTAATATTCTATCTAAATAAATTTCGGTAAGTGGCCCTACTAACTTAGGAATCTTATGTATAAACTCTTGTTTTATTTCCATGTTTTATTAAAAAGACATATATGTAAGCAATTATAACATTTAATATTTTAGCAATTCATATTTTGGTATAGCAATTCATATTTTGGTAAATATACAAATTAATTCGATAAAATCATTATCACTATATATATAATGCTTCCCATTCAACAATTCGAAGCAACAAATCATATCTCTTAAATTGATAAATTCAAACAAAACATCTTCCGTTCCACTTATTCTGAAATAATTTAGGTCACAGTTATAGGTTAAGTCAAATAAAATGTCGTAAATTGAAATTATATGGTGAATATTAATAAAAAATTTGAATGAAAACATACTTAGGAATCTTATGTGTAAATTCGTTTATTTTCTCCATTATATAGGGAAAAATTTTTTTTTATTTAATCAAATTTACCAAAAAAAAATTTAATTTCCATAAGGTGAGTTTTTTATACCTATTATGGAGCACCATGAAAAGAATCATGAAAACGTGCAAGTAAACATATATTTTATTGTTATTAACTTTATTATGTCTATCTTTTCCATTTTACACTTCGTTTATATATATATTTTACAAATCAAAATTAGAATACGATATTAAAAATACGAAAAACAAAAAGTAAAATATTACAAAATATAAAAAGTAAGGTTACGCAATATAAAAAATAAAGTTATAAAATTAGATTACAAAAAATAATAATAAGGTTAAAAAATTAGAATATAATACGCAACATCTACACTCATCGAGAATCATTTATAAGCTTTTAAAACCTTCCTAAATACTTAAAAAAAGACCTGCCATCATAGATTGAAATCAATTATCGGGGCAAACCTGATTATCTCACAAACACTGTGGTGGTATCCACCCCATTGCAATGGGCTATTTAGAATATTATTAGCAAAAATAATTGTCATGGGTCAAAACCCACGGTCTTAACTTATTAAGTATACTTATCAATTAGGACTTGGTGTTAAGAGAAGGCAAAATAGATTCAGATACCATTTGTATTCCAAAATCCTCCTCCTAACATGGCCATTATCAAAGTGAACTTTAAAAGTGCTATCAATAGCAAATTTCGTGAACATTTCATAAATTGTTTTTTATTATATTCCTAGAAATACTGTAACATTAAATCTCCTTTATTCAGCCCACATGTCATAGATTCTAAAGAAAGGATCCAGCAGGAGACAAACGTCCTCGTTTATTACCTTGGTATTCATTATCTCATCCATTATCTTAAATCTAAGTTTGATTTGGACATAAATATTTGGTATCTTAATGATAGAACAATCTGTGATTCTCTTCCTAAAATAATTGGTTTTCAATTTCTTTAAGCCAATTTTAAAAGTGTCATTCTTAATAAGTCCAGATCCGAAATCTGTTACCATGATAACAATGTACAAAATCCTCTGATAAATGCTTAATTCACCCCCCCCCCCACCCATTAATTTTCAAATAATTTTAATAAAGTCATTAATCATTACATTACATTAACGTTTTGAAAATAATTAATTTGGCCTGGCCCATTGCAATTTATTCAAACGCGATCTCAGTTATACATATTTGTAGGCACTACTAACAACCTCCTTTACCTTTGAGTCTGAAAATATTTTAATTTATTTTAAATAAGCTGTTTCGACCAAGCAAATTAACAACAGTAAATATATGATTATTTTTATGTTAATATTCGTTCTCTATGCATAAAAATATGATTGGGCAAAATATTCACTCGCAATAATATAATATGGTTTGGAATAGGTGCTCTGGTCCATGCTCGGATCAATGAAAGGAACCATTTTAAAAAAAGGAATCAAATATTAAATAATAAATATGAATATTTCTGTTAATTATGAAATATTCGTCCTCTATGCTTAAAAATATAATTGAGGAGCGAAATATTAACACTCAGTTCACAATAAAATAATATAAGTTGATGCTCTGGTCGATGCTCGGGACGATGAAAGGAACCATAAAAAGGGAATCAAATATTAAATAATAAATATGAATATTTATGTTAATATTGAAATATTCGTTCTCTATACATAATAATATGATTGAGAAAAATATTAACATTCAGTTCACAATAAAATAATATAGTTGGTGCTCAAGTCTGTGCTCGGGTCGATGGATTTGGTCGACCAATTTGGTTGCTTTGGTTTTGGTTCAATTTTTCGACCAAAAACCGTCGTGGTCGTGTAAAACCAACCAATTTACCGCACTAGTCACTAGCCATTAAATCTGGCATAGCCGGCTATAGTCTATTATCGATTTAAACAGATCAAAAAGAAATTTATATCCCTAGCCAGGCATATACGATAATTAATTAATAAGAACCTAGCCAAGAAATCCATATCATTATATTTTAAAGGTGTTAAAAAAACATTTTTTTAGTTTATTAAATAATATTTTTTGGAATTAAAATTTTGTAAACGAAACTTATTTGTTATATGGAAAATTATATCAGTTTCTCGGTTCAGTAAGGTTCGACACCCTGTTACAAACATTTAAAGAGAAGGGTAATACACGGCCCCTTCCTATAAGTCAGACCCCCGTAATTATAAAATTTTGTTTGGACCTTCTTCCGACGCATAGAGGGGGGAGGTGTCTGTTACATCTATGATATCTCCAAATATTTTAAAAGAATTATCCCCTAAGTTTGTAAATTTTTGGAAAATATTTTAATTCTAATACCATCGTGTTGCCAATACTACAGATAGCATTTGCAATGGAGGGTATAGAAAGTCCATTAGGTTATCCATCATAAGATTTACTCCTTTTAATTTCTTTTATTAATTTAAACTTTCATTTTCCAAAAATACTAAGGTGTTTGATAGGAATCAGAGTAAAATTAATAATGTCTGATTATTTGTTAGACTCTTCGACTAATATGGCTAATAAATAATGATTAGAGACCGCTAATAAATTACATACCAGAGGACCATTGGAAAATGAAATGCTCAATATTCTATCTGCAGGGATACAAACTAAATCGAACTATTATATCAAACTGGTATTAATCCTTAATAGTTACCAAACCTGAACCGGTAAAAAATTTCTCACCAGAACTGAATTTATAAAGATGTTTTCAAACCAGTGAACCTTTTCATATTCTAATTCTTTTAAAGTTGATTAATAATCACTGATAAATATCAGTGATATTGTTATTTACAGTGCCAGCTACTCAGGTTAGCATATAGTCTCAGTAGTATATAATTTAATCCCGAAAATATTTTTATTGAATACAGCTCAATATTACGTTTATAGAGATTAGGGGATAAGTTTTAAAAAAGGAGTTTTTATTTATAAAATTTTATATACAAGTATGAGAAAAAGTTTCAACCAGTTTTAAAGGTTCAAACCGAAAGATTACTTTAAACCTGAGTCATTATTTTTATCTTAACGCGCTGATCCTAGTCGGTTAGGTGTTTTACTTCAGTTAATTTTGGCTGGAGAAATTTCTTTAAAGCTTTATCGATGAAATTAATATTCGTATGACTTTGGTGTCTGCAAAATTTACAGGTGATGATATCATTATACTAGTAATTTAAATTGTAGCATAAACGTAAACATCGCTAGTTATTCAAGGTTCAATAAAACTAGGGATATCTTTAAGCCATTTCTGGAATTTGAACATGTGGATGGCTTTCTTTGAGTGATTGCTTGATATTAAATTCTCAACGAATCAAGTCATTAGAACAGAGGCGTATCACAAACATATTGGGGTCCCCACAAAATTTCCGAGGCCCGCACTCATGTTTAGGCCTCGATATTTATAAAAATCAGAGTTTGAACCTGGACAATATGTTCCGGTTCTTAATATTTTTATAAAGTATTCGGTTTTAATTCCTAAAATTTTGAAAAATGTTCCGGTTCATAAATTTGACTTGGTTCCCTGCTTTGAAACCAATTCCAAACGGTTAAAGCAATCAAAAAAATACCGTAAAATTAAAATAACCCCTTTAAAATAAATCACCATTTTAAACAATATATTATAGTATATATAAATTACCTGCATTTTTTCAGAACCGATTTCTGGAAATTTTAATTTAGGACTGTTTAGCGATATATCTGGTACTTTATTAGTTTGCGATCGGAGTCTGAATAATAAATCTAGCCTTAATTAAGTGAATTACGCATTTTTTTCAGGCTTATAGCCGGGGTAGATAAATCAGATAACTAACTCTCCCTAACAAATCTTTTTACTGTCTCCACAATTATTTTTTATCCGGTAGATCCCCCCCCCCCTTACATTCTATTGTTATATCTAGCCTTATTTTTTTAAACATATATTTTATTGCCAGAAAAGAAAATATAGAATGGCAATATTCCAATTAAAATATTTTTACAGTAGTTTATTTTTTTATTTATTTTTTAATCCTGCCTTTTTATCATCTCACGCAAATCTTTTAAAGACGGAAACTGTAATCAATAGATTTTGACATACATTATTTCATCACTTCAATTAATCTTAGCAAAGACAGTTTTAAAGATTTTGTTTATGGCAGAACTTCTTAATTACTTCCGTAAATGTTTAAAAATCCTTGTGCCGCATTTTAGCTCGCCCGAAGTTTAGTTCTTAATTCTGAATTTTATTCAGAAAAGCAACATGGATATCATTTTTTGGTTTTTTAAAATTATAGACTTTTACATAAGGTATTATATATCAAAAATACCTTTAAAAAATTATTCGTTCCTATTCTTTACATCTAAAAATCACTATTCAGAACAGCTATTTAAAATTTTTAAAAATAAAAATGACTTTTCCTACACATTGCTTAAATTGATTTAGTGGAGGACAAAATTTTTTTCAGAAAATTTCAAATATCGCATACTTATATTTATTCAATTTTCTATTAAACGAAATTATATTTAAAAAAATATTGAAATATTTGAGTGTAGTTGTAAAGTTTTTCGAAAAAATTCAAACTATAAATGATTTGCAATAAATTTGCTAAATATCATTATTAAATTGTTATTTATATTTTTAAAAAGCTTTAGGCCGGTGTACAGACTGTTCTGACGAGATTTTCATTAGTCAAAATATAATAACAATATTCACAGGGTACCGGGGTGCAAGTTATAATTGTTGATGGAGGTAGGCAGCTCGCTAAATTAACCATTGTAGGGCACGGATTGCAATTTGCAATCGTAGGAACTCCTGAACAATCTACAGGATCATCTATAATTACTGCAGTAAGAGTTAATGCAGTAGTGGTTGAAGAAGACAGCGATGTCGTTGTAGGTGGTGGAATGGTAATTGTAATTATAGTTGGTATACCTTATAAATTTAAAAATGGTTATTAACGTCCTGTTTTACTTATAAAGCCAAGTTATCATTTTAAATAAACCTTTGTGGTGAAAGATAGTGCAAATGTAAATCACAGATTATAAATAAATTTCAATAACTAATTAAGTAAAATAATTTTAAATAATTACTCCAAAGTTCTTGAATATTGATTAATAAATAATTATATGAAAATGTTTCAATGAAATTGACTTTAACAAATTACCTCCTGGTACTATTGGACAACAACAACCCTCTGGTTCGCGATATCGACCAATTATATCCATATCACAAAAATATCCAAATGGGCATAGTTGGAATACTGAATCTGTGCACTTGAAATTTAATGCTTCGAATATCTCGCAGCCTTTACAAACTTTATTTTTGAAATAAAATGTTATATTATTATTATTTAGATATACTCCTAGGGGTATAAAGAGGAGAATAGAAAACCACTATGAGAAAAGGTTTGTACGATTTGCCGTTAAAATTTATATATAATTAAATTTGTTATCCTTTTTTATGATTATTCCTCCAATCATTAGAATATATTTTATTTTATTATTAACAAATTAAATGATTGTTGTTAAAGGCCTGAGAAAATACGGATAACGAGCCAAAAAATAATACGCAGACCTGAAGATTTCGCTCATAAAAGGCAGAAAGGCTTGTAAACTAAATATTGAAGGTTGCGTAATATTTTTGGATAAAATATTGGGTTGATTCTTTTTAAAAAATTCTTATAATTTATTTATATTTAAATAACTGTAAAGAAACAGCGAAAAAAAAAGTCATTTTGTTTATTGTTATTTATTTTAAAGTGAAAAAAAAATCATTAAATTAACTACTTTTTTTTATTTGAAAATAAGTAAAGGTATATTTTTTTTTATCTCTATGTTCTAGGGATAAAATTGTTAACAATAAAGATTTTCATAACATACCGAAGAAATTTTTTAGTTATATGAGTGTTGCTAAACTTAACCGAAGCCTCAAAATTTTACCAATAGATGTTCAAGCTTTTGCCATCTATGGGTATAATATCTTAGCTTGGGTTATTTAATTTTAGCTAAGATCTTGAGTTTGGCTCGGCTAAATCGAACATTTTAGTAGTTTGAAAGATATTTATCGATGAAAAGCCTCAATTTATTTTTTTTCCTGGGAAAAGGGGAGGGTTATTTTACGATAATCTTTTTGAAAAATTATTAGGGAAATTTTTAGGAATCATCTTCCATTATTTGTTTAATGTATAAATTAATATAACGGTCTTTGGCGTCTTTCTTTTCAAGTTAAAAGGATAAATAATCTGAAACGTGTTACTAACTTCTTAATTTCTATTCTGATCCCACCCCCTCCCCCACGCATACGGCACACGGACCTTGCAGATTACAGTAAGTTTATCATGCCATTATTTGACAAAGTTATACCATTTTTACCGATTTTTGACAATGCTTTTTAAATATTAGCATTTTAATTTATTGAATTATATTCACCTCATCAAAATATACATTCAATTAAAATAATTATTTATATAAATTTAATAAATTAGAGCGGTTATATTTTCTTCGTTTTAAATCTATGCACTGCTATTATTTAAGATTTTATTTCGGTTAATAGCTAGTAAAGAAAAAAATTAACTAGCTAATTTTCAAGTTACTTTTAAAAATATGCTATAATCTATGAAAGCCTATTTTTGGGGGAAAAGGAACACGCCTTTTAGACACCAATTTTGAAGTAGTTTATTTCTTAAGTCCAATATAGATCTTTAAGCCCATATTTTTATAAAAACAAAAATATGTGGCATTATATTTTCAGAGTTTGGAACCTGGACTACAGGGTATTCTGATTCCGGTCATGAATAATTTCAAAAAAGTTGTTGCGGTTGTTAAAAATTTGAAAAAGGGTTCCAGGTTCGGTTTTTAAATTTGACCCGGTTCTAATTTGTCCCAATTCGGAAGGTTCCAGGTTCTCGCCCAAATTCTAAATTTTTCGCTACAATTATTTAAATTGTATTTTCATGAAAATCTCTTTGATTAACATTTGTAAATCGCAAATTATTTTGTGTAATAAAAAAAAATTATATTAACAATGATTGAGTTATATAATTATTTTTAAAATTACTTTTTTAAAAAAAATAAGTAACTAGTAAGTATAACTAGTTTCTTTTCAAAAACTTTAACAACAATATTAATAATATAACAATCATGATGTAAATCCAGTGCTGTAGTCCTAAAATTTTAGGCGGGGGCGCGCTATTATAATCTATAAAAATAGTATGGGGCACGCAAAAAAATAAGAGAGAGTTTTTTTGAGACACTATTATTTTTGAAATTTTTTTATTTATTTTTTAAATAGTTTATATCCATGCTGTTCATTTAAATTAAAATATATCTATATCATATAAAATAGGTATTTAGAAAGATATGTAAAATTTAAAATATATTGAATAAAAAATGACATAATTTTTTTAGAATACATTTCATAATTATATAAAATAATTAATAAAATGTATAAATCGGAATAAATCAAAAAGAAAATGAAAAAAACTATCATACTCGCCATAGCGAATCTTTTTCAATATTTTTATAATAATTAACCACACGTTTTATTGATTGGTTATCTTTGAACTGTGGCTTAGCCACTTTTTATTTTAATATATGAAGAATACTTCCATTGACTGAGAGAAGGCCCGTTAACGTTTATCATCCTTAAACGGGAAATATTTGCTATCATTACACTTGAAAGCAAATTCGCCATAATGGCATTCATAAGGTGATATCGCGATCAGATAATCTAGTACTACACGTAATTGTGTTAATACAATTGTAAAACTCTTTCAAATCATCGGGGAGTTTTTTATTATCATAAATATATCCCCTCATCCCATTTATTGCAAGGTTCACATCAGTCTTTAAATTTTCTCTTCCCCATGATAAATGTGTGGATCTGCTGGCCAGTTATTTCCAAATCAGATAAAGATAGCTAAAAGTATAAGACTATAATTCATTATAGTATTTTTAGTAGAATTCGCATCCATTAATCTTTTTTGCATAGGTAGTAATGAATTGATTTTTGTTGAACTATTTTCATTCAATATTACTAATCCATATTAATTTATTTCCCTAGCTTCTAGAGCCATTTATATGCCATTTTTTAGAAATACTAAATTAAAATTCGTTTATAAATTATAAAAGAGATTTAGAACCCACCAGAAAAATCCTTAAACGATTTTATAAATGAATCGTTTGTATTGATTTTTCAGCTTTAGGTAAACTGATTGTTTTTATGTCAAGCCTTAAAGATAGTTGGATAGTTCAAATAGAATATCATACATCAAAGATCTAATAAGAGTTCATCACTTTCATCAAGAGGGGGGGGGCAGCCCATTAAATTCTGCACTATAACTAGAATTTGCTGAATTTTTGTAATGCGTATACAGGACCTCATAGTTATTTCAAAACTGACTTAACAGTACGAAGATTGTTAGACACTCATCGTGCATCAAGTGCCTTTCCAATGAATGCCCAATTCAAATGCTATTTGATTCATCGCCTTTTGATATTTGTTAATTGGCTATATAAACTACATGTTGTGTCAATAAAGGCTTTACGATGATTATCTCTTATAGCACTTTTTATTGCCTATCTAAACGGTGATTAAATAATATCAGGATATATCGTTGAATAAAATGTTGGATATTCTTTTTTAAGAAACAATTAAAATAGGAAGGGGTTATTTTTTCAAATAAAAATACCATTTTAAATAATATTTATTTTATGAAAATATTAATATTATGCTAAAATCCTAAAAAAAACAATTCAAATTTTAGAAAGAACAGGCCTTGCCCTTTTTTAAAAATTTCTGGCGGGGGCACGCTAATTTTTTTTAAAATCGGTCCCGCATGCCCCCTCTTCCCACCGAATACAGCCATGTTTACACCATACGGCTGATCATCATATTATATACCACTTTTTTTACTAAGATAAAAAAGATTCAAAATTTATAGAACTGATCTTTCTAATTTACAATGTTGTCACTTAGGGATCCTTCTAAATTTATATCATAATTATTATTGACAAAATTAATACATAAATTTTATTCTGGAAATATTAAATAAACTGATGACATTATCAACTACATTTTGAAATCTGGACTAAATAAGGTCCAGTTTTTAGTTCAGAATATAATTATTTAAATAGTGACTCTGGTTCAGGTTCCTAAAAGGTTTTGAAAGGGTTTCTGGTTATTTGACTCAGTGAACGTTTTGGTTGCAAACTCAGTTAATACGCAATTTATAAAAAAATATAACATACAATAAAAAAAAGGCTTCTAAAATAAATCACTTAAACATTTTGAACAATAAATTTAGGGAATTCATTGTCATTTTATTAGAGCCGGTTCCAATTTTTAGGTTTTTTGTTCCGAGATTCATTTTTGTTCCGGGAGTTTAGGTGACAAATTCTAATTATTTATATATTTTGAACATGTTAAATATTTTTCTTATTAGTTCTAGTTTTAATAAAATTACAAAAAATAGCCCTACATGAAATTGATTGAAATTATTTATCTATATAAAATATTTACATAGTGGAATATTCGGAATCATATTAATGGGTATCATTTGTTGGTTGTCTTTTTTACTATTTGATGACCATTGTTGTGAATTTGGATCTGCGTTTATTTTCATTAATGCACTCTAACCCAATAGATTAAAAAGTGGATTTATTTTAAATAAAATTTTATATTAGCTCTTATTTTTAAATCAGAGACCTGCAGAGGTCATATTTTTAGGCCCGGTTCGTATTTAAAACTTTTTCCCGTTTTAAAGTCCAACCCGTATTTACAAATAAATTATGAATGTTGAATGCTCACGTTGGACAAAATAATTCTTTTTTTCTCGGCCCGGGGGTAATTTTATCTTGAAGCTCAGACCTTTTTAATTTAAATTATAAAATTTTAGAGCCCGCTCTGAGCTGAAATATTTGCTAAGCATATTCGATGTTATTAAAGTAAATTAAATAACTACTTACACATATGGAAATACTAACGATCACAATTAATCTATAGATGTTCATTCTCCAAAAAATTTAGAAACGATTTATTAATAAAATTTGAATTTTTTAATAAAATTTTTATAGATTAGAAAAATCGGAATGTTTTTCTTATAACTTTTAAACTTGTATCACAAACTAATGAATAAAATAAATAAAAGTTGAAAATTTTAAATAACAATTTATCATAATAAATAATGGATTCATAATTTTTCATAATTGTCCTTGCTTCTAATTTAAAAGGGGATAATTAAATAACTATTATTTTTTCGAGTATCATTGAAATTTTTTATAAATATGATATAAAAATGAATAATTCTCTAAAAAC